GCTGACCGACAAAAAGAAAATTCAAATTATCAATAACTGGAATAGTGTCAAAGCCCTGATAGAAAACCCTCTCACCTGATAACTCTGCAACTATATACAATATGTTTTCCTTTCTATGTACTCATTTCATAATCAAGACATCATATGTGGTGAGGCTTTTGTATTGCTATATCATACGCCTTGTGAAGGTAGATGCTCTTATGTTTATTTATAGATACTCTTGAGTGCTTAGAACAAACACTTACCTGGTATAAACAGCGTAATTATTTCTGCCATAAATATTTTATTCTACATAATCTGCATTTACACGTTATGCTTATACACTTCCGCAAGCTACTATGTTAATAACGATATTATAAAGTAAGTGATTTATCACTGTTAGCTTTTATATACTTATTAAATATCAGTAAAGGTCTTGACCGCTATAAACTGCTACAAATAGCTTTACAGTTAAGTACAAGTATGTGTGTGTGTGTGTGTGTGTGTGTGGGAGTGCACATGTATGTGTACGGGTGCGCATGCCTTAGTATGTGTGTATATATACATATGTATTCTTATGCTGTAACGATTTGTACGACAGAAATACACTTACAAAAAAATTCAAGCTAAGATATTAAGGAAAATGATAGCCTCCGGAGAGTGATATGTTACACAGTCAAAGAACTCATTACAGTCAATCATAAAAAGTCATCAATAGCGGGTATTTTTTTTACCCATTTTACAGAGGAATGCCATTTTAAATAACAATTTTTTACATTAAATCCTGAAATAATACTGAGACAATATGCAAATTTCTATGTCTTAGAATATTGTACCTCCTCTTACAAATCTCAAGTATTTTAAAAACAAGAAAATCAGGTTAATGAAGTCTAGTATTTTTGAAATCAATATAAATATCTATATAAAAGTATACAAAACAGATTTGTTCAGAGTGAGTGTGCAGGAAGGAAGAATGATGATTAAAACTAATATGAATTATGTATACTTTTCTTTCAGTATTTAAATCAGCAAAAAAAAACATCACAGCACCTCTATAAAGTGGGTTTATATATAAACACATATTGACATGGACAAGACATAGGACACCTTTCATTCACTCATTCATTCATATAGTAACAAGTTTTTAATATACATGTATTAATTATATTTTCAAAGTTATGTGATTCAAATAGAGCCCCCACTTTTTTTCAAATTTTTGAAGACAATTATTTTTCTGAGAAATTTGTTTTTCTACTTTGCAATAATATTGTATTTCAAATTTCAAACTATCCAGGCATGGCAGATTCTTTCTCATTTTTTGTTTATAAATATGTAATCTTGCTAATGCAATAAACAGATTTAGCAGTTTATACTTTTTCCCAATTTTTCCAAAAATAATATCTACTGGACTAAGATCTATATTGAATTGATGTAATTCACTTATCCACCCACAAAAAGATGTCCAGAAGGTATTAACATAATCACATGCTACAAAAAGATGGAGCAATGACTCTATCTCTACATTACAAAAGTCACATTTGTCCTCATTTACCAACCTAATTTTTTTAGATAGCAATTTGTACTCAATATCCGATGAATAGTCCTATAATGGAACCATCTTAGCTTTACATCAATTGTGACAAAGAAAATAGATGAATAATATTTTTTCCATAGTTCGTTATCTGCCGTGAAATTAAGATCTCTTTCCCATTTATATTCACTTGACAATTTCGATTGAGTTGTCGATAAAAAAACATTGTAAAATTCTTTTGCTCCTTTCTTACTTTTATTCAACCAGTAAAATAATATTGGTTGAGAAGGCAGTTGTTGCAAAGAGTTTATGATAGAATTAATATTCCATTCACTCAAAATAGCGTTTCTTAAACCCATAAAAATTGTAAAGGCCGGTCTGAAGTTGTATTTAATATAGAATTCGTCATAGGATAGAAAGTTTCCATCTTCCTTTATCAGATCCTGAATGACCATTATCCTTTTCCTTTTCCACGTTTTATACAAAATAGGTTTATTTTCAATTCTAATCCTGAAATTCAACCATAAAGGGTTCTGAGAACATACATTTAAATCATCATCGATAATTGTTTTAAATTCATACAATGCCATAAGAGCATCTTTCCAAAAATTATTATTATTATTATTATTTGCAAATTGTTTTAGATTCCAGTTTCCATACACTAAAAAAGTCTCACAAAAGTTTGGCATCATTGACTTTAAAACTTTTTTTCCAAGAGGAGTCACCTTCCAACAATCTTCCAAACCATGTAATTTTTATAGATTTTAGTAAGAAAGATAAATGTGGCATTTTCAGTCCCCCATGACAATAATCTTGCACAATCGTATTCCTTGATACCCTGTCATTTTTATTGTTCCAAATGAATTTGAAAAATAGCTTTTCTAAGGATTTAATAATTTCAGCTGATGGATTGGGCAAACTTAAAAAATAATGGATGATTTTTTGGAAGTAGTATATGTGGACAGCAGAAGCACCATTTGCTTGGGGGTCCTGGGGGCCCTGTTACGTAAGTATTACGTAACAACACGTAATCATTTGGGTGGAGGACCCCTGGGACCTGTTATGTAATTATGACGTAACATTGCGTAATCATATATATATATATATATATGGACGAAGTAAGTAGTATTTGCTTGGAGGACCTGATCATTTTGTTCATTATCAATGGGACCTGTTACGTATTGTTTCAACATCATCGGTACTATGTATTGCACATAAAAATTAACTACCATCGCAACATCACGTAATTTTATTGTTTTCAAAATAATTAGAATGGTCTTCGGATGCAATAGCTTCGTTTCATGAATTAACATTGTAATCAGACATTGTTTTAAAACCAGTAAGCATTGAAAACGAATGGAACAACAAACGCAGAACAGTCTTTTCAAATTGATTTGTTTTTATTTAATGAATATAATACAAGCTGACTAGATTTCTAAAGGTGCAGTGGAGACGCCATCATCCAATACAACTCTCTTACAATAAAAGTAAGAAAAGGCGTCGCGTTTTTGTACATAGGAATGCATTGTGTTGTTAAACAGACTTATACCTCTATTTAAACCGCTACCGCTTTGTCTATTCAATAGCACGTCTAAATATTTGTGTTTGTCTATGTCATTGTTGTTCCTATTTACACCCTTGCAACTGAATTTTGTTTCACTTCCAAAACAGTAATACGTTTTACTGCAAAGACTAACGATGCCGTCACCGATCCACTCAGCCTTGAACAACCCGGGCTTTCTTTTGTCGAAGGCCTCGTGTTCAGGGGTATCAGTACGTGGAAACCACAGATGTTTTTCTGTTTCGTACTTGTCCCGCATTTCGGGTTTTATCACGGCTTCTAAGCTGTCAGCCGAAAATGCAATGTATGCTGAATCCGTGTCCATTTCGCAATATTGGAAATCGGACGGATCCACGAATTTCATCATAAAGTCGTAATAAAACTCTAACATCCGTAGCTTGGCGTACTGATACACCATCACACCGATATGCAGAGGCAGATCAAATTTGATGACTTTTTTATTCAACTCTATTTCGTAGGTATTTTCCGTTATTTGGTCTAAACGCCTAAAGCGAGGATTGCACACTTTTAACGAGGCCTTTGCTTCTCCACAGTATTCGGTGTCGCGGTGTTTTTCTTTGTTTGTCACCGTCTTACCGTAGCCTAAGTTACCAATGAGTTTCATGGTGTCGGCAACGATAGTCTTTGATTTGTCTCTGTCTCCGCAGCACGACTCATGTCTTGTAAGACAGCAATGAACTGTTGCACAGCTAGTGCCGGCTGACCGTTGGATATAATGCACGTCGGTTTGTCATACTCAGGCACGTTACTGCACACGCTTACACTTAAGAACTGGTGTTCGTTTTCCAAGCGAAGCTTTTGACCGTGTTCGGGGTTTTCGTGTTTAGGCAAGAGGCACTCGATGTCGAATGTGGCTCGATATCGATAGTATCGGTCTTCCTCGGGGACAACAATGCCTTCGTCTTCGAGTTGTTCGAAGATTGTTTGCTGTGGCGCGTACGCTTTCCCCGGAAAACGGTACTCCACGGCGCCGTTGCAGGTCCGTTCGTGGACATGTAGATGACCTTTGTGTTTAAACTTTTTGTCGCACTTTGAGCAGCAGAAAGAATTGGCGTATTTAACCATGTAGGTGATGTAGGAAAAATGATTTTCGTACAGGTTGACTGCCATTGTCTCTTTGTGTCTGGTCATGGGCCGACGAACGAGTTGAGCAACGGTTTTATCATCTTCGCATTCCTCTAACTCGTAGACCGTGATATTCACTTTAAAGATGTCTTCTAGTCTATTGAGATGGTGAAGAGGGACCCCTTTGAACGCTTTACTTCTACATTCCGTCTCTGCCACGTACGTTTCAAACAACCGTTTGGTCGCCTTTTCAAGCCCGCAAACAGGCCAGCCCCTTTGCAAGCGAGACATCTAAAGATACATAAATTATCGTTGTTCAACCCGTGTTGGTCTCCTTGGAGCGCGATCACACCTCGGTTGTTCAAAACGTGACGAGGTAAAGGTATACCGGCTCCAATCGGGTGTCCTTTAAGTTTTGTCACGTAAAGTGTGGCGTTGGTGACCATATCCACCACCCATTTCGAGTTTGGTCGCTCTTGCCGTGCGCATTCGAGAACATCTGTTAACAACACATTTTCGAAGAACCCGTCAAGATCGTTTTTGTTTTGGATCACGAACGGTTCTTCAAATTTTTGCTGCTGGGATGATAGTACCGCAACACCCCCGTCTCGCTGTTTCTCAGGAAGAATCCGTACGAAATGTTAATTTTAAAGGCGGTGCGTTGGTCGTTTAAAATCCGAACTTTTAAAGGCGGTACGTTGGTCGTTTAAAATCCGAACTCTTCTCGGAGCGCGTCTGGTTGAACGGTAGTCAATCGAAAGTTGTACCATTCTTGAAGCTTGTTGCCCCGAGAGGATCTCGTTCGAATGCTGTTCCAGTGGTTTGCATACGCAACGATTTAGTTCTGGATGTTTGTTGTAAGGTAAGTGATCAGTGGTGGAATACATATACTAGAATCAGATACACTAAAAACTCAAACCAGTTTAAATAATAAGTTTGAATATTATTTAGTAATATAAAGAATATAAGCAAATTTAAAAGACATACTGGTATATTTCAATTCACAGAGTTTTACTTGATTTCTGTTTCATGGTAAACATGTACATGTATGCTGAAAAGAATTAACTGTGTATCTAACTTATGAAGTATATTTTTGCATTAAATTCTAGGGCTTTGTTACAAGTGTTATCATAACACAAACAGTTAAGGACTATACTGAGCTTGAAGACAGCTTCATTAGAAATTTCTTACCCAGAATCAAAGGTATGTAACACACATTCAGTTTTGGCATTTTAGGGGATGTTACTTGTGCCAGTTTTTTATATTTTAGTTTTATATTCACTATGCAGATTTATGTGTGTTTACAATGAAGTTGAAGTTAACCGCCTGGGCTTCAATTTTCAAGACTACATATTACACAGGACACTTGTAACTAAAGGTACTTTAGTAAAATCAGGAAAACTTTGCGGTCCATTATGTTGTTCATGTTGCTTTGCAAGGGGGCGTGCCAGACAATTAAGCCGATTACAACGACTGAGCACGAGGGTGATACTCCGCTGAGATAGATTGATCCTGCTGCAATAGTTTCTATTCTGAACACAGTAAGCCTCTGTTGTTGTAAAACATTTATTGATGTTATGTTTATTTTTTCAGATTTTTCATCCTAGGCCTGTATGTGAACCTTGACCTGGACAATCTTACAGACAATAATAGAAAAGTCACCTGAAATTGCACAGGCAAATTCATCAGAATCAGATGTGAGCACCAACTTTGTAATGCCTGGAATACTTCCACGGAGAAAAAAAAAGGTTTACCTTTTTTTCAATTGTTTCTTTTTCTATCATGAAATTCTGGTAGCTACAATCATGTATATTTGATTTCCTTTTTTACACTTATGCAATATGTTTGATCAGAATATTATTTAGTAATTGTTCTTATACATCAATTAACATGAGTTTAAAATATGTTTAATACATTTTCTTTTGACAGCCTGTCCTGCCATCTTCAGGTAGGCTTGGCAATCTCAATCAGTTTTGTAGGAAAGGAGGATTGGCGCCATTGAATTGACAAATATTGACAATTGACAGTTCAGTCACACTTAACTATAGTGGCATGTTGCTTCAAGTTACCACACTTATTCTAAGATTGCTGAATTATCATTATTGTAGGAGACCCTGGATCTCTCAACCAGAAGAAAAAACCTGGGGATCAATCAGTTGTAAGATTAAAATCTGTGGAACACTACCCATCACTGTTGTGTTCAGTATATGGAAAAGATGACCGTGATATCGGAACCTTGGAGATTCATAACTTGATTTCACTCCTGTAAAAAGTAACTGCTTTGTTCTTTTACCGTCCAATTAATAATATGAAAATAAAGTACTCCTCCTGTCATGTATGTTGCTGACTCTGTTTTAATTTTCTTTATAGAAAAAGAATATAGATATCAAGATATCACATGTATTTACAAAGCCTATGAATCATTTCAAAGGAAAAAGAATGGCTGAAAAATGCAATATTAATCATTTCAAGTGGATTAATTAGTGTTGCACTTGAGAAAACTGATAAAATGAGACAGTCATTCCATTTTACCTTTAGAAAAATCATTCGTATTTTTTTCTCTATTGCTCCCTGAAAATAAGGTATATACACAATGCTGATGACACTGGATATGCACAGTAATAACTTATTAAATGGGGGGGGGGAATTACTTGTCACTAGTAATTTAAATTTATTCAGAAGTTGAATGGCTCTGTTTGAAATGAATATTATTTGAGCAATCCTGTATTACAGATCTCAAAATAAAAAACCTGCAAAAATGGGCCTCTAGATTATTTTGAGGAATTAGGGTAACTGTATTTTGGGACAAATTTGATGGCAGCAATTTTGTATTTATAAAAATTGGATAGATTTGTCCTTGTCAAAGCATAGTTTGAATTCCTGACTGTGAGTCTTTGATTAAATTTGATTATTCGAAGGTATTATCTCAAAATGTACTGATATCTTGATTTCGGCCGTTTGGTTTTCTGCTAAAATTGCTAAAGTTTGAGGCACTTTTTCAATATCTTCTGTTGTGTTTAACACACTTTTTGAATTTTGTTTGATTAGACCAATATATGCTTAGGATCCCTTTAAAATTTTATGGCTGTCAAGCCTGCAAAAAGAGAGATATGAATGCTTGAACATTGCTTGGTAGAAAAGTGAGTTTGGGGGGTGGGGTCATAAAAATGGGCGTGGCTCGTTAGTTTGTAGGTTAAACTGAAATTTAGTTACATATTCTCAATGGCAAATGGCTGGTTTAAATAGGTAAATTTTCAATTAATTTTAAAAAGTCATCAGTTTTGACATATTTGCTTATGAAGTGGCTTTATTGGCCGAAGCTGAAAATCAAGCCAAAAATGGCCAAAACATATTACAGTAGAAATAATAATTATGTTTCCGTTGTACGACGTTTTAAAAGCGTCAGAATATTTTAATCCCTATCCTGTGAATAGAAGGGGGCGGACAAACAATGGAAAGCCGTCTAATCCCTTCAAAATTCGAACGCAAAAACACAATAGTTTAGGCGTAATAACACACAATACCTTAGGCGAGTGAACCCCATGACGCCTGTTTCTGTGGTCCAGCGCGAGCGCGACAATCCGCTGTGACAATAGGTGTAATTAACAGCAGGATGCATCGGCCAGAAGGTGCCCATTGTTTGTTGCGGCGATAGGATTATAGCTTTAAGATGCTAAAACCCATGCTAACGCGTGCCACTCCCGTGGCCACCTATCCTTATGTTCACTAGCTTGGCACGCGCAGCTGATCATGTTTTAAGTGTTGCAAGATAACTGCTAGTTTAATTTAGTATCAGTTATTTAATTCAATATGAAGTGTTCTGTGGTCAAAAATTGAATTTGATAAACATGCATCAGCATAGTACATCAGCATGATCAACAAATCAACCCGTCTCAAAAAGTTTAAAGATGCTCCGTACACAAATTTTCATCATCGCGACCTGTGTAAAAATAGATTACTGTTTATAAATAACAAAGAAA